GAGAGGGGAGAGCCCCAAGCCCGGTCAGGCCAAGGGAGAAGTTGGGGGTCCACGGAAATGGAGCCATAGGAACACAGGGAAAACCAGGAACCATCTCCCGGGAACGCGGTTCACGGAACAGGGGGTTTATTTCGTGCATCTCTGCTCCCCAGCGTGGCGGAGGGGAGATGAGGATGGCGCTCACCTTCCCCAGCAACTCGTGGGGCAGATACGCGGAGCTCGGCTTGAAGAGGGAGCCCGTCTGGCTCAGCGTTGTCACGACAGCACCTCCGTTCTGAAACACACGGAGCAGAGCGCGTCTGGGAACGGGATACGCCAGGAGCAGCTACGGACCCTGCTCCTCCTTCGCCTTGGAGTCACTTTGGTGCCAGCTCCCCAGGCAGCTTCTGAGCGGGGAAAATCAGCTGCTCTGAGGATTCCCCACTCCGAGTCACGGAGAGAGGAGGAGGACGGTGCCTGCTAGTGCCAGAGGCAAGATCCCGGCTCCGGGGCCGCTGCGGGATCCCTCCATCCCCTCCTTCACCAAGGAAACGCTGCAGCCCTTAGGCTTTCTCTGCTTCAAACGAGAAACACCCCTGCGGCGTGTGGGCACCCAGCGACACGCGTGGGACTGCGCTGCTGGAAACGCTGGAAATGAGGATGCAGACGGGAGCTCACCCAGTCGTTCACCATCATCTTCCTCAGATTGTGCACAAGCGTCAGCTCCTCCGGAGAAACCTGATGAAAACAGGTTGCTATGACTTTTTTGCCATCACTTTCCACTTGGGATACATATGGTCCTTTTCCCGCGCTTTAAATCCCTTTGAAAATAGCATTTCCATGCCCCGGAGCGGGTACTTTCTTACAGGGCTTTTGTCTTCCTTCCTCAGGGTCGTCCTTCCCCAGAGCGCGTTGACTCCATCCACTGCCACGAGCAGCCGGAAGGCGCCGAGGCCGCTCTGCTGCTTCAGCTCCCTCAGCACCACCCCGACGGCGTCGCTGGCGTCCCGCACGCGCGCCAAACCCTGGCAGCACGACGAGACCCCGAGCTCAGCGCTGCCAGGCCCTCCGCTTCCCAGCACAACACCTGTGAGTGCTTCAGAAGCAAAATCCTCCTTCGTTTGCACTTGTTTTGGGGGCATTTATTATCCCTTACCTGCTCCACTACTTCCCCCAAGGGTCTGCCCTCCTCAGTGCATTCTCGTTTGCCCCACATGTATTTTCGTTGTGTTTTTATCTGCGGTAAGAGAGGGCAACACATGCAGTTTCTGAAAAATGGTCTTAGCTACCCAGACACCTTGATGCCCTCTACAGACCTCTTTTAAGAAATGCTCATTTGTGATTTTGAAGTTCTTTAGCCAGGAAGATGCTTGCAAAGGCTGATCGAGCCGGTCTTTCTTATAGGATGACTGCATGAGCTGCCTGCAGTTTTTCACCCAGAGATGAGCTGTAAGTTAAAAAAACAATAATAATCACTTTGTTTAATAAACGTAGTTAATAAGTTGGATGGTGGGGGAAGAAGTCTGTTCAGGTGTATCCTTATTCTACTCTATTTTAATGGCAGAACGACAGTCTGGACACTTGCTTGTGGGTGCTCTTCTACTTTACAGCTACGCTCTGCTGTGTTTGGGGGCTCCTCGCTGTGGGGCAGCAAGGCCGGCGCGCCGGGCCCTGCGCGGGGTCGTTACCGTCGGGGACGTGCAGCACCAGCCACCCCTGCCGCGCGCAGTAGTGAACCACGTGGCACAGGGTCATCGTCTTCCCGGTGCCCTTCTCACCATCTTCAACGCAGACCGTCAAGGAAAGCCTCCAAAAAACAACCCCGCCGCAGACGGCAGCGTTACGGGACTGCTGCTCCTTCCCGAGAGCACAGAGGGAACGCAGAGGTGCTGAAGGAGCAGGGGGTTTTCCAGCACGTGCTTTGGGCAGCAGCCTGGGACGCCGCCTCCCGCGCCCAGCCCCACCAGAGCTGTTAATCCCCCTTCCTGGTGGCCCAGCTGCTGTAACCCGGTTCAAAGCAAAGCAGCAGCTCCAGCAGCTCCGGCACCCGCGGGGCTGCCCCAAGCCGCAGTGCTCGGCACCACCCTCATCCCGGGAAACCCTGCGTGTGTTTAGCCCACAATCTGCATCAGGGAGTGATAAAGGATACAGATAACGTATCTGATCACCGGGTTGGCAAAGCTGGAGCTTTTCAGGTAAGTGAGAAGTTCCAGAGCTGGTTTTCGCACCATCACAGAAGCCTCGTTGAAGGTCTTAATCTGAGAAAAGGAACAGAATGTGAAAAAGCAGCCCTGGCCCTAGGAGTCAGGGATGACATTTTTTGGATGGCCTGTTGCTAAGGGTGGAATGTTCTCCTCCTCCTGCCACTACTTTGGTCACGTGGACCCATGACTTTCAAGCTAGCAGCAAGTATTCCTAAGGGTCAGGAACAATCAACACTCCTGTCAACTTAAGAATCATCACGTATCTCCCTGTTTTTAACAGGAAAGCACCATAGTTCCCTGGATGATCCAGTTCTTCCCAGCCACGAGCCCGCCCCTTGCAGGACAGCTTGGACACAACGTACCTGCTGCTGGAAAGGGCTGGGCAGCCCGTGTGGAAACACGGCTCTCACCTCCTGAAGTGCAATGTTGTAGTGGCGGCCCTCGTGGAGCTCTCCATGGTTGGCCTGGGAAGGTAAAAGCAAATTCCATCAGATTTTCTCTGAATCCAGAAAGTCCAGGAGAGCTGGAGCTAAGAGCAGCCCTGTTCGCCGTGGATGAGAGCAGAAAAGCAGCCTCCAGGGAGCCCTGATGTTGTGTTTCACCCCTGGGCAAACCCCTTCGCTTGTCTGCTCCCACCTCTGCAAAGTGGGTCAGGATCCTCATCTGAAGTCACTCTGAGTTTTGCCAATGGAGAGGTGGGTAGAAGCCAGCTCTTATTAAAAATTTACTTTCCATCTGGCCTCGTTGGTTCATTTTTAACAGGGCTTTCCCGTGCCCAAGCGCCGGTGCAGCAGCCGCCGCGGGGTCCGCACTCTGCACCGCGGCGAGGCCAAGGACACCGCTCCGATAAATTAACGGGCAAGGGCGGTTGTCACCAAAAACACCAGGCACGTGAGGCCCGGGGCCGGAGTGGGTTGCTTGGCAACGCAAACCGCAGGCACAGGACGGAGGAGACAATTCCTGCCATCTGGAGCCTCCCGCGCTCCGCAGAGACGCTCCGCTCACGTGGCAGGATCATCCGCACGCTGCCGTTTCCATAGATACCCCAGAGGAATCGCGCTGAAAGGCTCCAATTACAGAGGCAGCAGCAAAGCACCTCAAAGGCTTTTTCCCTTCATTTATTCCACTTCATTTTGTGCTTGAGCAGAGCACAGGGCTGGAATTACGACGCTGGAGAGCTGTGCTGCATTGAGGCCGTTGCGGGGTGTTTTCTATCACCCCTTTCTGGCAATTTAGGGAGGTTAGCAAGGGAAGAATAACTGGAGTTGAAATTAATAGTGTGTGATGAGGAGCGAAGCCGCACGCGAGCTGCTACAATGCACAGCCTGCCTCATCCTTGCAAACAGCTTGGACACATCGCTCCTGGTTCCCAGGAGCTTCCAGGCAGAGGAGCAGCCCTGCACAACCAGGGCCTGTTTTCCTCTTGGCTGGGGATGGCAATGGAGACGCCTGTTCCTAGGCCCATGTGTCCCGTCCCCTCCTGCTCCCCGGACACCCGTGATCCCGGGAAGCGCTCCGGGCACGGAGCGCGGCAGGAACTCACCGGGTCGCTCTCGGCCGTTCGGAACACGGCTCTGGATCCCTCTGCCGAGCTCTGCGCGTCCCGGCCGGACCCGGCGGCGGCGGCGGAGCCGAGAGCGCGGCCCAGCTGAGGGGGAGAGAAGGGAACGTGAGCGCCGGTCCCTCGCGGGCAGAGGCACCGTTGGGAGCGCAGACGTCTCCGCTCCATCCAGCCCCTGCGCCCGCCCGACGGAACGTGCGCTGCAACACAGAAGGCTCTGCAATTAGCGTAAACTAATCACGAAGAAGCACGTGTTGGATACCCACATTTTTTCACATTTAGATACCTGCTCCTGAGCTATTTCCAGTCACTGAAGTTATCTCCTACCACTCACGACCCAAGCCCTGTCCCTAAATGAGTTACCCCATTAAAGACTGCTTAAGTGCACAGCGCAGCCATTAAGGGCTCGTTGCTGGGAAGCCCCCGTAACGTTTCTGCCTACGCTGATGAATGCAGCTAGTACCTTGGAAATGCAAGCTCTCTAGTAATCCATAATCACCACAATTATTGAGGGATTAGTGCGGCGCTGCCCACTATTTGATATTGATAATTACACTCCCTGCATTGATTTTCGCTAACAGTGTCCCAGCACACAGGCTCTTTCATTACAACACAGACATGGTCGAGCAAGGAAACAGCCAGCTAAGCTGATTAATCTTTTTTCTCTGCAGACGGCAAAGCTCAGCCAAAACGGGCGAGTTTTGGGCGGAAAGGACGAGCGTTTTGTGCTGCAGGAAAAGACGACGCTGAAGCGTGTGTGGGAGCCGTGAGTAAGCAATTCCCGTGCTGCAAACGGGCTGCCCCCAACGCAGCGGAACGGGAGGCCTCCGGCATCAGCGACGGGAGCAGCTGCTGGTCGCTCCCGCTCCCGATCCCGTCCGTGCGCCCGCGGGAAACGCGCACGGAGGCAGGAGCTGCTGCTCCCGGCACCTCCTCGGGGGCCCACAAAGGCTCCAAAGGAGGGGTAAGGTCAGCTTAGCCCCCCGTGCTGCCTTAAATACGGAAGGGACTCCTGAATCAGCAGATTAGGCCTCATCCACGTAAGGAAGGAGTTAAACCCATTTCTATTGCACACCCTGTACCTATATAACCAACTAGAGTGGTGCAAATACGGAAGATAACTAAGCATTCCTTTTTGTTCTGTTTTAGCATCCTCTTCCCTTATTCCAACGGCGCTCTTTTCCAGACAGTTAGTATGCCTTATTTGCCTGTTTTTAATTTTAAGTCCACGGAAGTGGCTTCATTTCTTGCTAAGTGAGGCACTAAGATGATAATTTAACCCAAGAATAGCTAGAAGATGCAAGGATTGTCACCTCTTCACCTAAAACATCTCAGCCTTAAGCAATTGCTTGTGTTTCACCTCCTCAACTCTTGAATGTTTCAGTAAGGACTAAGCTCTTGGCCTCATCATGCTCATTTTTAATGTGCGTGTATGCAAAAATCCCTTGGGCTGCTCAAAAATTGAGTGGAATGATCCTTAGACTGAGTGATGTTACCAATTCCACCTTTTTCAAGGCAAAAATCTCAAGAGATCAGCACAAGCTGGATGTTGTATGGTACAAAAGCCAGTTTCTAGTAGAAGGAAAATAAGCAGGAAGTGGAATGCAGAGATACAGACTTGCGTTTTATGAATGAGTACATCTCCCTTTACAAAAACTGTGCATAAATGCATCTGTAGAAGGAAACTTCTGTGTCCAGAAACCCCTGTTAATGCATTATACACCTTGACTTTACACAGTAACAACATGCTATTTGGTCCCTCATCCTGGACAGAAAAATAAGAGAAAAAAGTGGCTCCTTGCTGATCCTCTTGGCTTCACAGGGAATGCGGAGCCAGGAACAGCCTTCTGCGTGGATTCCGTGCAGTAAATCCTGCAAACACGCAGAGCTCCTGCACGCTGCGTCGTGTCTGAGCACGGTTCATCCTCACCGCGGAGGGGATTTCACAGCAGCTTCCCATCGCCGAGGACAGGAGCGCGAGCCGGATCCCTGAAATGGCAGCAGATCCCACGTGGTAGCGAGATGCAGCCGGAAACATGCCGTAAGGTGGAGCTGTTTGGACACGAATCCGCACGGAGAGGCCTCCGGAAGGGCAGGGCATTCCCGAGGGGCTCCCGGGGAACCCGGGGAGCCGAGCAGTTCTGCAGCCTTCCTCTTCAAAGGCTGCGTGACCACTAGGTGCTATTGAGAACAGCATTTAAAAGACAGCAGCAAACGGGACTAAAACTCCTCAGAGTTGGGACGTTGTTCCAGATTCGTGCCGTTAATTCACAGTGTGATTCCGGCCTTTGGCGCATGCTTAAATTTCAGTCTTCCAATAGACGCCCTGGCTCTCAGGTGAGAAGACTCTCACTATCTACAGTTGTAGGCGGTAATTCCAGGCACCGGGAGCGCTCGGACAGCCGGGATCCGGGAAGCAGCAGGACTTACCTCGGCCGCGCGGCACAGCAGCCCTCGCCCCCTGCGCAGCATTTCGTCCTGCGGGGACACAAAGGGAATTGTGTTTCATGTTTGTTAATGACACCCTTTATTGTTGCATATAGGACACTGGAGGGGAATTGCAATCGCGATACAAGAATTAGGGCAAAGAAGACGCCAGTGGCTTAGTTAGATCTGCCCTCTCTGCTGCCGTTCAGGGCCCTCATGCCACTTTTCCAGGAGAAAAGCAAGACCCCAGGAGAGTTGAAAAGCTCTTGGTTAAATTACGTAAAATATTGGAAATAAACGACCACGCGGCGCTGCCGGCGGGAGGG